GTGTGTGTGTGTGTGTGTGTGTGTGTGTGTGTGTGTGTGTGTGTGTGGCTGTGAAGCATCGCTCTCTCAGGCAGAAGTAGATCTGATCAGGGTCCCTACAAGTTTCTGCGTATACACAGGAGAACGCTCAACCCAGATTGGTTCAGTATTTAAAGACAAGCGTTCCAAACACAAATCACCGAAGGTGCGCCGCAATACCAAGCGATAAAATGAAATGTTTATTCCGCCGTGGATGAATGCTCTCCAGTATCTGAGCCCAGGCAAGCACGTAGTCCTCAAACATTACAAGTAATCTTGCATTTTACGCACCCTCTCCCTTGCCTTATAAATCCTCTTCTTTATGTATATGACCCGAGCAGTTACAGTACATCAATTGTCGCAAGTCATTTTCTGCTAGCTCGCACTGTATCGGCTCAATCAATCTCCAAGTGCTGTTGACGTTCAAGGCTATCGCTCCGTATTACCGCCCGTCTCCCTGCCCCGTAAACATACGCACTCATGTACACCACATGTGATTGGTTAACTTTGTATTTTTTGCAGGAACTCCACATACTGCATGAAGGTGTCCATGTCCCTCACGGTGGCGGAGAATGACACAGACCTTTGCTACAACTCCAATATGAGGTTATTTGAGAAGGCAGAGCTAAGCAAAAGCAAAGACATTACATGCCCGGGCATTGAGGATTATCTGCATCCAGGAGTGGAGCCTGAGATTGTGTGGTACAAGGTAAGATGCCCCCTTTGTATTCGCTATTCTCACAAATATCCACCACTGATGTTATTCCCTTTTAAATGCAGAAGTGTAAGATGTTGTCTAAACAGAGGGCTCTTTCACCTGAAACCCATCATGCACATCATTTGAAATGGGAGCCTTTCAATTCAAATTAAAAAGCTACTTCACAGGAAGTTATTTTATACATCTGAAGGATAACCCAGTTCAGGTCAGCTATATTCAGATCTAATTAGCTTCAAATACAATCTCTTCTCTGACTTCTGAAACTAAAAGCATCAGCGAGATAAATATAAAACCGACAGAAATAAATCTATTCACTGAGTACATCTCTTATTTCCTCTGTTCTGACCCCAAACTTTCTCCTCCTCCTCACGGAGAGTTGTGACGCCCACAGTGTACCTGACCCAGTCTGACCTCCCGCGTCCCAGAGGCCACTTTGATTGAGCCGTTCGGGTTTTGGGCCCAATTCATCAATCGATAAAGTGTGCTGGATTAGGTGGCCAAAAGGCTTCTTCATGTTCCCACTGAATCAAATTATGATAGCAGATAATGACTGTGGGCTCCACACCCTCCAGTTATTGGCTCTCACTTTGTCAGAGGGGGCAGATTGAATTCTGGGAGGCCTGTCTTGGACTACAGTTCGAAACAAAACCCCACAGTGCCCCAGTTTCCTTTGCCTCAGGTGTTCTGTGTCCAGACTTGGTTAAGATGGAACACTGTCGTGGGCGACCCATGATCAAAGGAATCAAAAACTGTTATTTTTGGAAGTTACGTAACAGTTTTTGACGCTAAAGTTACTTCCTGTTCACAAATTAGATTGCTTTGGATTGGGTTGCGATAAAGATGTTTCTTAGCAACTGATTTACACATTACGAAAGTCTTAAACTTAAGCTAATGTCTGAAATCTGGCATAATTTGAGACGAGGTCTCTCTACCATAACTGTGTGGAAAGCTGTAGCAGTTCTTTCTGACAGCACATTTAGCAGCAAAGGGCTCTCTATAGACGTAGCCTCAATATGCTTAAAGCTCATGTCAAGTAAAAGTCTGTTTCCTGCTGATTTCAAACATTAGTTCCACTTGAAAGCCAATGGTGACACGCGTGTTTTCTTTATTCCCCCCCCCCCCCCGTGTTTTAAATAAAGGAATGCAAGCCAAAGCAGTGGAGACAAACCATAGAAAGGAGGAAGGACACTCTGTCCATCAAGGAAGTACGGGAAGACGACATTGGGAATTACACATGCGAATTACAGTTTGGGAACTTCGTGGTACGGAGGACGACTGAGCTGTCCGTCACAGGTAAGGAACTTTTTTTTTTGACATTTACTCAATGCTGCACATCCTTTGACTGAAGAGTCATCTCAGCTACTTTTGTTGAAAACCCTGGAAGAGATACTGAGAGCCTGAATTGTTGCAGTGCTTGCGACAGCAGAAAGGAATGCCAGTAACTGTACACTGAACACCTCATATTGCAAATATACTTATATTGAATGCATTCCAAAACAAAAGTATTTCCACAAAAGAATATCCTCATCGTTGCTCGTGCCTTTGTGCACGGTGTCGGGGGATTGTGTTTTTTTTACACTGTGTTTTTACAGATTGAGCTTTTTAAAGCTGATCCCTGCACCTTTCGCCTAACTGTCGCAGTCAATAGCGTCACTGTCTCTCTCTCCGACTTCTAGGCTACTTTAATTGCTAAGTAGTGGAATTCACCTCCAGCACCAGCCACCTCAGCACTTTTTCTTAAGGCTGTTAAAATATTTAAGCCCGGACCTACAGTGGGTGACAGATTGCTTGCCACTGAGACTGCCACAAACAATGTTGAGACAAAATGCTTCTTTAAGTTTGTCATCACTGAACAGAAACACATACAGTAGCTAATATTGACTTACATTATCTTTTTTTCTATTAGTGCTTGTTTCACTACACTGCCAGTTCCCTCTACCAGGCTTTGCATTCATCGGATGAATAATATTAGGACCAGGGCCAGTCGTATTCCTTGCTCCATTTATAATGGACGGATATTAAAGATGTGCTCTATTATACAATGTTCATTGAAAAGTGGAGCTCATGTTCTTTTAAGTAGAAGTGTTCCTGTGCTCTGGGCAATTGCACACGACAACAGCTTCCCCTCCCTGTGACTCATTTGGCTGAGTGGTGGCTTACGTCTGCAAGAAAACGAACCAATGCAGGATGTCGCAGACCGAAACGAAACGGAGAGAAGCGAAGAGGTTTCGGACGGACGAAAGGCGGCGTTAGATTCCAGCGCAGCTGCCATCGCGCGTTGTGGGGTATGAGGGTCAGATAAAGTGTTTGCTGTAAACTCCTACTTGATGACACTTTATGGGTCCGTTGAAAGAGACAAAGACAGACTCCATTGAGGGGAGAGCTAAGTCATAAATCATTTTCCCACCAGCCTCAAAATGTCATCATTGGGGAATAGTCTTAATCTCTCTGTCTTCTTTGGAGACATTCAGCATTTCAAAACAGGTGGCAAAAGATGACTGATGACTGGGCCATGGCATTTAGGATTTTTTAGAAATAAACACTCTTCCAGCTGTGTCTGTCTGTGTTTACTCCCAACTCCAGTCTGTCTGTAGCTGTGAATGTGTCTGTTTTTAGCCTTTTGAACCTGTCCAGGATGCACCCTACCTCCTTCCAGCTCTCACAACCATTGAGCAGTATACACAATGGATGGATGGATAACATCAGGTTTACCTGACGGTTTGATTGAACATGACATGAACATGACAACACTGTGTTCCAGCTGTTTATTGGTTCACTTAAATGTACCTTTTAGGATGCAGAGACCAAAGTTGACTTTTACTGTAAGTTACAAGATACAATATTGCCTCCAGGAAACAAAGTGTTCTACAAGTTCTCATTGTTCTCTCTGAACCTGGAGCGCTTTTTATCTTTGGAGAGCAATGCCACTGTTCACTCAGCTTCTGGCTTGGTTTCCTTCTTTTTAGGCAGAATTGCTCTCCTCTGAGTTTTGGATAGTTTTGTTGTCTGTCTTCGATTGAAGAAGTTTTGAGTTTTCTTACGTGGTGTTTTCTTTTGTGCTGCCGCGGTGGCTGTACTGATCATGCTAACTACCCGGTTCTTTTGATCTGTCTTCTACTTCTGTTTGCTGTCGCTGCTTCAGTACTCATGAAACACATCGCGTCCTATAAGGAAGGGGGGTTTTGTTCTTGGAAAGAGCTTTGTGCTTAGACCCAGTCAACTTCTCACTCCTCACAATTAATGATGCAAGACCCTGTCAGTCAAAATGATCTCGTTTCCCTCCAAAAATGATTCTGATGTTGAAAGATCCACCGATTTCGTATTGAATCAGTGTCCTCCACCAGATATAATACTCAATATTATTGTGTGTGCAAAACATTTGACTTTGTCTAATTCTCACTATTAATCATGATAACAAGCATTCTAGGGTTCAATTGTTGAGGAAATTGTCAGCCATTTATTCCCATTATATACCCATCTAGGCCAGTGAGGAGAAGTGTGAAATTGAAAACAACATAGAATCACAATTGAGGTTAAAAATATTTATCTACCAAATAAGAGGAGCCCTAAGCAGGATCTTACCAGAACCTTGACTTTTAAGAGACTTGTGGGGCTTCGGTACAAACTTTGTCCTAGATACAGTGGAAATGCAAGTTTGTAAATCCCCTTGAACATGTGTTTATTGCAGGTACCTGATAGATACACATTACGTTACAGTAAGTCCCACAGATCTGCGGTTCGGACTTGACCTTTGGATCTGCTTTCCTTCCAGGGGCGATACCAGTGTTGGTACCACCACGTTAGGCATGCCCCTGATACTTTCTCTTTTTATGTGGAATAGGTGTACATGAACCTTTATGTAATATAATCATCAACCTCCCACGGATAATTCCAATCCACCATCCAAACCCCTGTCACTCCCCTTTCTATCAACAGCCTGCAGGCCCTCTCACAGCAGCGCAGTGGGACAAAAAAGGTCAGATTCCACGTGATTATAATGAGCACCACTCAAATCATAATGAGCTCCCTCGCTGGGTAACAGGAAGCCGCATTCATTTTTAAATAAAATGTGCGGTTTTATGACTTCTTTGTATGGTGCACCGTTTGATGTCTTAGATTAAACACCGCAGACTAAAGGAGCGGTGATGGAATGGATGCATGCAGGGGAGCAGCAACGTTGGTGTGTAAAATAGACTGTCAGTGTAGCTAATGAGCTGGGACTGATGCTGTTAACCTGCTTTTCTAATTCTGAACCAGCACGCACAACGTGTGTTTGGTTGGGGAAATGATGTAAAGCATGTAAACCATCGTGAAAGTATCCCTCCACATACAATTTATGACTTCCTCCTCCAACCAAATGACGCATTCACCGGATATTTTTCCTGTCCTTAAAGTCTGAGTGTTTACGATGGACGGATTGGATTCTACGGTAGCTTTGTGGTTGAAGCTATCCTCGTTGCAACCCTGTTTCGACAGTCTTTCAGTCTAGCACATTCAAAAACTATTTATCTCGAGTGAACAATGGCTTTTCTCTAGATGGCACCATTCTACATCAGTGTACTGCGTACCGTTGAATATTATTGCACTGCGACTTGACTGGTTGGAAATGAAAAAGAACTATTTTGCTTCCTCAGCTCAACCGCTGCTCTTGAATGAGGGGAACATTTCCCCCCCGATATGTGTTTCCTGCTGTGCGTTTGTAAGCCAGAGGCTATTTTGTGCGAATAAAGACAACGAGTTAAAGAAGTGTACAAGTTTAGAACATGAATTTTAAATAGAGAACAAGACTATTGATGGACCTCACAGAGAGTTGTCTAGGATCATGAATATGAAGGTCAAACTCAGAAACACATTGTTTGCTAAATACAAATGGCCATCACTTATAATATGCTTACAATGAGATCACTGCATTTAGTCATCTAGATCAATTATATATTATATATAAACTTTTAAACTGCTCTCTTTTTCATATTGCAACCATTGAGTTTTTTATGTGTCCTTGCCCGGCACTTCTCGGACGTCATCACCTATAATATATGCAATCCTGTCACCGTGATGAATGCTGTTTAAGCTGAAACGTATCGATCCTTTATACTTCAGTCTATTGTTCTCAAGGAGCAGCTAAATGACTTTAGTTTTGCTGAGGAGCACAGACAGCTGATAGAGTTCAGGATAACTTCAAACATGCGTTCAGTATTGAATTATTCACAGTACGAACTCAGTTGGTGAGCGCTAAAATGTTAGCAGGGCCTCTCTGTTCTTGTTAAACCGAACAAACAGTTTACCTCTTCAGTGAAATGGGACACGACTCTCTCGCATCTCTATTCTGCAAGGTATAACTCCTGCCAGCACCATTTGGTGGCCATGACAAATTCCCTCTCCCATCCCTGAGTTGACTCATTAGCATATGAAAGAGGTTGGAATACAATTGCTCCTTTAATTGATGGAAGATAATTAATCTGGCCAAGGTGCCGGTGGAGAAGAGAAGATGATGCACTGAGTGGAATCTGAGAGTAATCTTTTTCTTTTTCCTTTCTTGGGAATTTATGACATTGTGTAATCAGCAGGCGCTTGATGAGGTTTAATAGTTTTTTCACATTTTTTTTCACATCGTCACCTTTGATATTTTTCTCACTTTATTAGAGAACATACTTATAAATAAAGATGAAGCTTGTCATTATTCTGTAAGTCTTCTATCGTCTCCTGCTGGTGCTGGAGCTCTTCAAGAGTGGGAGTTATTCATTAGAGCATGGCAGGGTTAACGTGTGTTGTAGACGTTAGCAAAAGACCTACAACTAGATACTTGGTAGATATTGGCGCTTGGTTTATTTCAATTTCTACAACCACTTGCATTATGACCTCCACACCCTCATGATGTTCTGAACCTTTGGATCGGTCAGTGGGAGTATTTATTTTCTCACCATGGGCCTTCAACCAGGCCTGTTTTTATGTTTCTGATGATGCATAATATAGCATTCTTGGATTGTATGAATATTATTTCCATGATTGCACTCTCTAAGTAATTAGCATTAAAACTATATTTTCAATATTTAACATTTAAGCGACTGTGGGGCGACTGTGGCTAAGTGGATAGCAGGGCCGTCTTTCAATCAGAGGGTCGGCGGTTCAATCCCCGGCTCCGGCTCTGCTAGTCGCATGTCAATGTGTCCTTGAGCAAGACACTTAACCCCCTAAATTGCTCCCGTAGCTGTGCCTCTGAATTGTAAGTTGCTTTGGATAAAAGCATCTGCTAAATGACTGTAATGTAAAAAAATGACTGTAATATGCTAATT